GGAAAAAGCATACAAGGCTCCTAAATGGAAAGACTAAATATTCTAAAGATGTCAATTCTCCTTAAGTTAATCTATATATATAAGGCAATCTCAAAGGGATTTTTTTCACCCCCTGTAACTTTACAAATTGAACCTAAAATTTATTGGGAAAGTTCTTTATTGAAGAATTCCAGGTCATATATGCAGAAGAAATGATACAATTTAAAAATTATCATTTTGCAACAGCTACTGAAATGGATTCCAATAACAACAGATGCTAAAACGATCAGGTGAAAGGTTGATAGTGAACTAAAATACAGAAATCAAGCTGATAAAACCTAAACTCACTGAATCATCTTTGTATCACTCAAAGTAAAACAACTAGCCATTACAAGCTTCACGATAGAAAGCACGCCACACCCGCCATAAAGTATTCTTGCCGAAAAAATTGAATCTGATTTTAATCATACTCTAGATCTAACTACCAGTTTATATGAAACATGGGTAATAGAAGAATAAGTTAAATGAAACTAGGAGGAAACAATCTGCCAAATCCAGAATGTGAGATGTTCTATAAAACAAATGACCTGGTTTCTCCAACAAATCAAAAATAAAGAAGTGTATCAGGATGGGGTAGGAGGAGCTGATGTATAATAAAAGAGACAAAAGAGATTTAATAAAATTTAATGTGTTGATCCTCATCAGCTATAAAAAGACACCTTTGAGATAATTGGAGAAATCTTAATGTAGACTAAAATTTAGGTGGTAGTAAGGAATTATTGCTAACTTAGGTACAATTATGGTAGTAATGTTTTAAAATTAAAAAAAATAACAAACCTTCAATGACTTCCTTTCTCATCCAGTATAAAAGCTGTATGTGAGTTTGGCCCCCATTTACCACTCTGGTTTTATTTCTTCTTACACTCTCCCTCATTCATCTCATTAGTCACAATGGGATTCTTCCTGTTCTGCAAAGGCACCACCCCTGCTCCTACCTCAGGACCTTATACTTGCTTTTCTTTTGCCCTCTGCCAAAATGCTCTTGCCCCAAATATCTATACAATTTACTCTTTCATCTCTTTTATCTTTTAGGTCCCTACTCAAATATCCTGTTTTCAAATGATGCCTTCCCTGACAACCATATCTAAAATGGCAATGACCTCCCCAGCCCCCCAAGAAAACTCTCTATCCTCTTGCCCTGCTCTATTTTTCTTCTGTCATCATTTAACATACATTTTACTTGTTTATCTTTCTAATTGTCTGTTCTCCTCTTTTTTGTCTGTTTTGTTCATTGCTGTATGCCTAGCAACTACATCAGCATATGACATAGGTACTCAAATATTTGTTAAATAACTGAACAACCCTTCTACTATCCCTATTTAACAGATAAGAAAAACAAAGGTTTAGAGAGGTAAACAACCTCACTCAAATTCACACAAACAAGTGGCAGAATCAAGGCTTTAATCCAGCTCTCTTATATCAAATTCATACTCTTAGCCACTCCACTATACCACCTCCACAGTACGTCCATGTTATTGAATACTGTGTCCCTAAATATGGAGAAATCCATGAGAACTTGACAACAATCAAGGTGCAAATTAACATGTGAAGTATAATCCAATTTTTGTTTTGAGAAAGAAAAAGTATGAGCGTGCGCATTAGGTTGAACGTATTTTTTGTGTGTGTTACCAAGGTTAAAGAGCTAGAAAGTAAATGGCACACAGGCACTTCACGGTCTGGACTCAGCCTACATCTCCCAACACTCCCAATCTTTCGCTTCACACTGCAGAAAGATAAAACTGCTCATGGATCACCCCCTCCCTCAACATGCTGATTTACCTGGAGCAGGCTTTTACACAGGAGGCAGTATAGTTTGTTGACTAAAAGCCTGAACACTGGAATCAGTCTGGCCTGGATTTAAATCCCTGTCCCACCTCTTACTAGCTGGCTGTGTGATCTTGAATAAATTAAAATCTCTAAATTCTGTTTTTTCATTTATAAAGTGGGGATCGAAATGTTATAAAGTGCTTCACCTAGTTTCTGGCATATAGTGGACAATAATAGCTAGCATGCTATTCCCTCCCTCTTCTCATTTAACCTGAATTCCTACAGATCCTTTAAAAATCTAGCTTAGAAAAATTACATCCCTCAAAACCTTCTCTGCCCTTCTTTCCTCTCAGACAGTTAAAGGCTTTCTTAAGTGCAATCTCTGTTTCTTATATACTCCTACTATGAATTCTTTATATAAGTGTCTTTCTTCCCTGACTGTGAATTCCTTAAAACCATTATCAGTTTCTTAGTCGTCCTCAAATTCCTGGTACCTAAGAAAAGTGCCTAACCCTCAGTTAAGTGTTTAATGTTAAATTAAATAAAACCTGTATACGACGCCAACATGATCCCAAATCCTGTGTTCTTTCCACTACATCCCACTTCCTGTGCTATCCTCTAATGAGATTCAACTGCTTCGGATCAGGCAGCATAACTGTTTTATGAATAAAATTGCCACCTTAATGGTGAACACTGAATTTAAAGTTGCTTTTCTTCTAACCAAACACGTTGTTTCTGTTCATACAGAAAGACCTTTAAGGTTTTTAACTACCTTTATGGGACACCCACGCTCCTCCTACCCAACGCATCTCTGGACTGAGTTCAGACGGGAAAGGCAGCCTGACCCGCCAGGAACTCACATTTCAGAGGGATCTCTCTCTCATGCACCACAGTGAAAGGCAGCTTCTCCTGGTCGTCCAGTGGCACTGACTCTCGGGTAAACACAACAGTGACGGGCACCATGAGCCGGAGCTATGAGAAGGAGCATCAGGACCATCAGCTGAGTCTGTACCTTGCGGATGGGCTGTCCCCTAGCCCTCCCACATCGAGGTCTCACCTGCAGGGCATTCAGCCCACTGATCTGGGAGTAGGGCAACGAGGCCCGGTAGGTCTCTGTGGTCTTCCACCAGAGAGGCAGCCCTAGCACGATGGCCACCGCAGCGAAGAAGAGGGCAGCGCGCTTGCCTCGGACCACCTCTGGAGGTACGGAGATACCGACTGAGGCGCCAGAAGTGGGCGCGGGTGCTGACCCCACCCCCGACGCGGAGCCCCGGCAACCCATAAGCACACTCTCAGCCCACGTTCGTAGGGATCCCTGTGAGACCGACCCGAGTCCAAGTCTGAAGGGATCCTGTCTGAAGCGACCCCCGACCCCCAGTCCGCGGGACTTCTGGCACACCATAATCTCCAGCCCTTCATTCCTCCCTCGCAATCCGCGAGTCGCAGGCCCCACCCCGCATGCCCCGCACCTAGGTCTGTAAAGGCGGCCCCGGCGGCCGCCATGCTTGCTTCCGACTGCCCTGGCCCTGGGGCGGAGCTGCACAAGCCTCCCCCAATCAGAAACTTGCAAGTTGGGGGGCGGGACCACACCAGCGATTACGGCCAATTGCGAGCGACACTGCAGTCGCCAAGGCAGGAGGAAGCCGGCGAGTGATGGGCAGAATCCACAAGGAGCCTAACCCTCAGTACCAAAGGAGTATACCCCCTCCCAGAGGGGCGGTGGAGGTGCTGTACGGGTTTCAGCTCGCATTTTGTTGTCCGCCTCTTCCTGGTAGAACACACTCCTAGCCCCAGAAATTAAGAGCGCAAATTCTACAGTCGTTAAATACTAATTTGGGCGGCCACGGGCAGCTCTAAGTCTCCCGTTTTCTCATCTAAACACTGGAGATATTTACTAAAATGAGATCATTCATGTAAAGAAACTGACACACGGAAAGCACTCAAATGTCACCTATCACGATCATTGTTTATTATCCCAATCATAGAGCTCCTCTTCCAGACACACCCCCTCCTCAAGCCTCAAACATGGAGGCGGCAAGCTAGTAGTACCTTTTGAGAATATTTGGCTCATTCGATATTTTTTAATTCATTTCCAACTTGTAAAAATCTGAATACTTCACTCAAAATTCTTGGAAATTCACGAGCACAGACCCTGGATCCTGATCACTTGAGTTCAAATCCTGACTTTACCACTTCTCCTGAGTGATCTCGAGAAGTTAATTAACCCCTCTGGGCCTGTTTCCTCATATTAAAATAGGGATAGTAATAGTATCTACTTTACATAAAGTTGTTGTATGTTGTAGTAAATGAATTAATAAACATAAAATAATTAGACTAGGGCCTGGCAAGAGCACATAGAAAGTGCTTATAAACGTTAGCTAATTTTGTTACTATTAGGTCAGGTCGCACTGGGCCTACATTCCCATATTGCAGTCATTAGCTGGCTGGAGGATTGGTTGTGCCCTTTACACAGAGCTTGGCCTCCCCAGTTCACACACAACACACTCAGCAGGTTCTCTCATCTTTTTATCTGATCAGACAGACCAGATGCTCACCCTACCCATACGCCCCTCTAGCCAAGTGGTCAAAGTTTATCACGAGACCTCACCAGGTCTGCCCTTCCCCAGACTCTCATATGGGCCCCCTCTGTGCCCCCATCTGCCCCACATGGGAGTGGGCAATAGCCCTTGGCAACCTCTTAGATACTCTGCTCAGTCTGGCAGTCCCAAGCCTTGGAGTTCTTCCTGGTTGGGCAGGAGCCCAGGTGCTCCTCTTGCAGTGGCTCCCCCTAGCAGAATGTGTCAAGCCCTGGCAAGGCTCAACACAGCTGAGAAGTGAGAGACTCCCATCCCCTCCTACCCCAGTTTTGGGCCTTGCACAGAAGCTGCCTTCAGGATTGCTCAGGTCTTGCATCACTTCATCCTGCTGCAGCTGCAGCCTAGTGCCTCTTATGTAGCAGTTCCTGAGAGACTTGCAGCCCTCCATACTGCCATGCTCCAGCCTTGGACATAACAGGCAGGCCCTGATCTAGAAATGGTTACTGGGCATGCTCCTCCCCTATAGACTTGAAGCCCAATGAAACTCAAAACCCATCCTCTCTTCACCTCCAAGTCAGAGGGCCCAGAGACAGAGTCATCAGAGATCAGAAATTAGGAGATGGAAAATTGATGTATAAAATAGACAGACACAGTAGCGTGTTTTGCTACCATTTATTTGCTATTTGCTATGTACCTAAGGCATAAGTCAGGTGTCTTGTGTTCTACCCTCTAATCCTAAGAGAGAGAGCAGACAAGGAAAGCCCAAGAAGCAGCTACCCCATCATGGAGAAATTGTGGGAGCTGGCAGAGGCAGTGGAGACCTAGGCATCCTGCTCTGACTTCTAGCAAGTTCTCCAGCCCTCAGCCATGAGGGGCTTTCTATCCTCCTATCCAAAGGTCCCAGGTACAACAATGGGAGAGGGGAGGGGAGGACAAAAAAGGAAGGTGACTCAGTGCTGGATGGACGCTTGTTTGCTCTGCATGGCTATTTGGCCCTGGCCATAACTACAGGCAAAATTGGGTGCAGGTGGCTGGGCCAAGGGCTCTGGTACGGAGTGGGTACTCAGTAGGCATGGTTGGCAACGTAGAGGGATTGTGCCGCCGCCCCACCATCTTCTCCACTGCCTTCATACTTGCCCTGGGCTGCAAGCCCATTCACCTGCAAAAGTAGAGGAGGGGAGGGTGTAAGCAGGCTGAGCCAGCCCATAGGCGCCAAAGGCTGTAGCCTCTGACCCCTGCCTAGCTGCACACCACCACCCCCAACCACCATCCCTAGCTCCCAACCTCAGCCCGCTTGATGAACTCCTCAGTGGCAGCCTCAGCATTGTCCCGCTGCCCTCGCCAGGCATTGAGTGCAGAGGCCTGCAGGGCACGCCCATAGGAGAAGGTGAGGGCCCAGGGTCGGGGAAGGGGGCAACGGTTGATAGCATTAAGGTTGAGTGATGCCTCTTCTTCACTCTGACCCCCAGACAAGAAGGTCACTCCTAGGGAAGACAAAAAAAGACAAACTGATTAGTCACTTTCTATTTTTCCAGGGTAAGGGATCCCTGAAGACCACAAGAACCTGAGGATGAGTCTTGAGGATAGGAGGTTAGAAAGCAGGGTGGTACCTGGGACAGCTGGGGGCACAGTGCGACGCAGGGCAGTGACAGTTGCCATGGCAACCTCTTCTGGACTATACTTAATGGGACAGGCATGGCCAGGAGTCACCATGTTGGGCTTGAGCAGAGTCCCCTCCAGGTACACATGATGGTCACTCAGGGCCTTGTACACAGCAGCCAGGACCTGGGGATCAGAGAAGGTTTACTAAGGTTTGGGGTCCTTGCCACTTATGCTCCCTGTCTAAGGTGGGTGGGCATGACTGTGAAGGTCAGTATAGGCTCAGACTCACAGGTCTGTTCTAGGATCAAGTAAAAGAGTGCTTGCGGAAAATGCCCGCATCTGTCCATGGTGAACAAGTTCCCGTCAGGCTATCCTTGTGGTATGTGTCTGCCCGAGTGTGGACTCACCTTCTCCGTAACATACTGGCAACGTTTGAGGTCATGGTCTCCATCAGGCAGGATTTCAGGTTCCACAATAGGTACAATGCCATTCTGCAAATAAGAGCAAAGTAGCTTGGGAGGGGCAGTAGGCAGGATGAGAGAAAGTCTTCTCCCCACCAGGCACAGGGCACCCATCTGCCCCCCTCACACACATAGCCACATACCTGCTGGCAGATGCTGGCATAGCGGGCCAGCACATTGGCATTCTCCAGAATGGCAAGTGCTGAGGGCGTGCGCTCGCTGATTTTCAACACACAGCGCCACTTGGCGAAGTCAGCGCCATCCTTCTTATACTGGGCACAGCGTTCTGAGAGCCCATCCAGCCCTGCAGGCATAGTGCCAGTCGCATCACTCTGCCCCTCTTTGCCAACATCAACCACCCTCCAACCCTGTGATCCTAAAGCCTATCCATCCTGTACCTTGAGTGGTGGTTTCTCCATCAGTCCCGGCTAGAGGCACTACACCCTTGTCAACCTGTAGGGGAAACACAGGCAGAGGGCTGAACCCAGGCAGGATTCTCCCTTCCACCCCTCACACACACACAGCTATTTCCATGCTCAGCAACCTGGGGCCAGTGGCTGCACCTTGATGCCAACGACAATGCCTTTATCCTGGATGGTACGGACAAAGGGAACACCATTATCATCTTTCTGATAGAGTGTCTCATGGAAGAAGATGACACCTCCAATACACTTCTTCACACGGTCATCAGCAGTGAACAGGACCTGACGGTACAAACGGCGGTTCTCCTCTGTGTTCTCCACCCCAATTTGGCTCAGCCGTTTGGCCATGCTGCCTGAAAGGAAACAAAAAGGGGTGACAAGGTCATCCCCAGGGCTTCCTAGCCACCTCTACCCTACCCAGCCACAGGCCTCTACATACCTACAGACTCATCTGCAGCCAGAATGCCTTTGCCTGGGGCCACAATCCGGAGGGCAATGTCAGACAACTCCTTTTTCTGCTCAGCAGAAAGGGCTGAGTATGAATGGGGCATAGTGACAGCTCTGTGGAAGAGACAAGATATAAAAGCTGGACCCTACTCACTACATCCTCTGCTTCCTCTCCTGGCCATATGGGCCAAATAACCTCCCTACCCCCAACAAGCATGGGGCTGGGAACAGGGCAGCAGTCCTTGGCATGGGTCCTGGCCATTAGGCTTAGGGCCCCAGTTCCCACATCTCCTTTTGTCCCTGCTGGGCATCCTTCCCAGCCCCATAGAAAGATGCAGGGTGGGGGTGGGGAGGTGAACAGCCCCGAAGCTACAGGTCTTCTAAAACTACTGCCCGAACAAAGATGCCAATCCATCTTCCACTGAATTCAGGTAGACATAACCCCTGACCTTTCCAACTTCCCTTTTCTCATCCTCAGCAGGGCCCCTAGGTAAAGTGTATTTACTTCCAAGGCTTCAGAATGAAGCAAAAGTACCCATCACCCTTCTTCCTTCAGCTTCTGCAGGAAAATATTGGGAGGAGGGGGCAGCTTGGGAGTAGAAGTGGCACAAATAACTGTCACAGGCGTCTATAACTCTGCAGTCAGGATATGAGAGCAGAGGATCAGGTTTGAAAGGAATGAACAGAGAGGCTGAGGAGATGCAGGAGGAGAAAGGAGGTGACTTGTAGGGAGGTGATAGTGAGACAGGCAACTAGTCAGGGGGAAGGACCTAAACCAGGGGGACAGAGAGGGGAAATGGAGAGGGAACTTAGCCTAGGAGAGAGAGCAGGCAGAGATTAAGGTGGTCTTGGTGGAAGAGACTGACTCCAAGAAAAAAACCCAGTCAGCAGAGGAAGATTTGGGATTGGAAAAGCTGAGGTCCAGGTATGAGCTGAGAAGAAGGGGAGTTATGGGAGAGGATGAACCATGGGGTTTTGAGTGGACAGAAAAGAGAGAGGATGTAAGGAGATGGCTGAGGTGGCACATCCAAGGGCTCCTGGGAGTAGGGCAAGAATGGCAGGGGGAAGAGTCAAGGAGAGAAAATGGAGATGCTGAGCAGCTCCCGCCTCGCCCACGGTCCTCACCTGTGCGCAGTGAGTTAGCAGCGGCAGCACAGGAACAGCTTGGGTTCAGGTCTGTAACAGCTGCGGCTTCAGCCCTGGCTCCTGTAAATGAGGCTGAGGATGCCGCAGAGCTACGTGACTCCCCCCAGTGGGCGGGGCAAGAAGTCTCCGCCCCTGGCCACGCCCCTCTGCAGGACTGGTGTTCTGACAAGGCCACGCCAAAAGAGGCGGGACAACATGGTGGAGTGACTACCCTGTCAGGACCTCGGAGTCTGTTGTGGACTGCCCCCTCCCACCTCGTGGAGCTCTGCCACCAGGGCCCCAGAGGCAGGAAATGGCCTTGCCCTCATTTCTGGTACAATTGCTTTTACCATGTGCTGGTTACTGTGCTTGATGTTGGAGATTAAGCCTGGTCTGGTGAAGGAGAGTCACAACAGGTGGGGTAGGCAGGACAGAGGTACCAACAAAGTGTGGGAGTCCAGGGTCAGGAAGGAACTGAGTTTCTCTGTCCTCACCCCCTTATTCACCAGTGCCTACCCAGGAGGGGGATGGAGAAAGTTAAGAGAATGAAGCCTTGTCTGTTCCCCAGGCCATGAGCCAGGGAACAAGCAGTCCAGTGCCCAGCATATATGAGGAAGCAAGAGAAGGGAGGAGGGGCAGCCAACTTTGGCCCTGGATGCAATGGAAGGGGTAGTAGAGGGTGCCCAGGCAGAAGGACCAAGCTCTCCCCTGATCTTATCCATCCCTCTCTCACCCAAGAAACAAGATTCAGTGAGTCTGAAGAAATACATTAAATATACTTTATTTAAATAGCGTTAAACCTAGCCGGCTCTATGCCAATTGGGCCTGGTATTGGGGTAAGGGAGTATTGCAGATAAAAAGAGATGAAACAGATTCCAGCTTTTAGTTTCTTAGCTCAGAAATTCCAGCAATCCTTGAAGCTCCTTGCAACCCCTCACGACCTCTGGGATGGACAACAGAGTCTGGAAGAGAGGCAGAAAAGGCAGCTCAGGGTCACAACCCCAGGAAGCACCAGTGAGTTATAGGGCAGAAAATGGAAGCCACAGAGAAACCTGTAATAGTGAGTTAGAACAGACCACACACACACAGGCCGAGAACCAGAGCTATGCTCATAAGTACCTCCTGGGGCCAGGCCTTATATCAGGTGCCTTAGTTGTATCCACTCCCTCCTTTACCTCATAAATGTGCTGAACGATGTCGTCTAGTTTCTTTAACTCCTTGTCAGAACGCCGAAGATTCTCCTCCAGGATATTTCTCTAGAAAGCAAATAGGTTGCATAAGTCTTATGCTTAAAAGAACAGCATAGCATCTGGAACAAGGAAAATATGGCAGAGCACTTGCTAGTGGCACGGAGAAATGGCCCCAGAATGGAATGGGCATTCTTACATGGCTCTGGAACTTGACTGTGAGTTTTGCCTTCTCATTTTTCATTTCCAGGAACATCACCCTCAGTTTGTCCACCTATAAATATATCTAGATCAGTAGGAGCGCAGTCTAGGATTCCCGCCAGCTGCTTACCTCCTCTATTAATTCTGAGTCACCTCCTGGGAGAGCCACACTTTTTCCTGGATCCAGTTAGTAACCATGGGCTGAGAGTTGGGGTCCAGCTGACCTGCCAGGGTCTCTTGGAGCACCTTAGTCTCTGTCTCCGCACGCCGAAGTGAGCGGGTAAGCTGGGTCACCTCCTCTCTAAGACTCTGGGGATGAGAATGGAGAAGTATCCAGTAGCCCTCAAAGGTCCTCTCCATCCTTCTTATCTCATGTGGTAAACAAGGCCGGGAGATCCAATTCTCATATTTGGGATTCTAGCTACCAGGACACAGAAGGCAGAAGGCCAGGCATCATGATGAACATACTATGAGCTCGCCACTCTTGTCTATCTGCTCTAGAATCTTCTCATTCTGTTGCTGTATCACTTCCTGGAGCTCCTTTTCATTCTGCGAGGGAAAAGGAGGTAAGAAGGTACAGAGAGCTGGCTTCTTTGCAGCCCTTGCCAGGAAATAGGATTTAGTGCCTGACCCATGCTCAGCCCAGGTGCTACCTATTGATAACACTCCATTTCCTCTAAGGCTACATCAGGCAAGGCACATTTCAGTGTTAAGAGTTCTGCTAGAGTTCCCGACTTCTCAATTGGCCTGGGAGATGGGTCAGCCCATAGCTGATTCCTAAACATGTGAAATGTCTGACCCTAGGAAGGGTGAAACTAGGGCAGTAGTTGGAAAATCCCCACCACCCAGATTCCTGGAGAGACAGTGGCTCCCAGTGGGCCAGTATAGCTGCCCCAGTTTTTCACTGTCCCACTTCTAGGCCCCTCCTTCACCTTGTAGCGCAAGCACAAGGCCTGGTTCAGCTTCTCTATGTCTGCTTCCTTTGCCTTCAGGGCTTCCTGATGCTGTTCTTCCTGGGCCTGCAGCCTAGCCTGCAGATCACAACTAGGAGAAAGAAGAATTCAGCATTATTCCTGTCCTCTCAGGGACTGGCTGGGCCCTTGATATAAGGGGCTGACCTCTCTCACCAGAACTGTACTCCACTCACATCTTTTGTTGCATACTCCTGACGGCTTCTTCTTTAGACCCTTGCGACAAGGAACACAGGCTCTGAAGCTCCAGAGTGATAGTACTCATTTCTGCCAGGCTCTTCTCCATATCTGGGATCTCTGAAAGAGAAAGTCCTAGATAGAGATAGAGCCCTTTAGATCTGGAAGGAAGGAGTTGTGTAGCCATCATTTCCACAACTCTTATCCATGTTCCCCGCCCATAGGATTTGAATGTCTGGAACATTACAGGTCCCAAAAGGCAGAAATATAATGAGCCCAAGTAGAATTTAGGTTTTTAGAGCAAAGCACTTCTCACTGCTTTAGTCTTTATCCTCACTACCTGATCTAGAAATGAGGCGGGATCCCTGGAGCCCATCCTAACCTGTAGGCTGAAGGGAAGCCATTGATGCTACTCGGGTGAAAGCACTCTTGTCACTTCCAAGCAAGGACATGGGAGGTGATTCTGGCTCTGAAACAAAAACGAATTATGGTAGAGGACCCCTTCGGTGACCCAGTCAGGGGTCTGCCATAATGGAAACCACGGAGAGAGAGGTGTGTGGGTGAGTATCTTTAACAGCTGAAGATATCAACAGGGTCACAATTTTCCCACTCCTATATTCCAGGGCCTTTAACCTTTGTCTGCCACTGCTGTCGAGATGCTTCCCAAGAAGGTGCTATCTGTGGATAGAGGGTGTTCCTGGGCAGGAGCACAGGCTGTGCTTTTCAGGAGGGTCTCTGGTTCAGCCTAAGGGCAAATGAATAAAAAAACATCAGCTGCTTTTCAGAATCAATGATTTCCCTGAACACCCAGGTACTTACCAGCCATGTCCTCTGGAATGCTGTTCTATCTCTTACCTTTCTTCTCTATCTTCAACTTCTCCATTAGCTCCCTTCCCTGAACTTAATGCTCTCTCAACAATTAAAAACAAAAAAACAAACAAAAAAAACCTTCTTACCTTAAATTCCCTTTAGTTACCTTTTCTTTCCCTTCCATTAAAAAAGGAGAAAAAAGAAAGAAAGAAAAACCTACACTTCTTGCCTAAAATTCTCACCATCCATTGACTCCATAGCCCACTATCCTCAGACTTCTGTCCCACCAGTTCACGAAAATTCTTGTTATTTGGTTCACCAATACCATCCTTACTTTCAAATGCAATGAACACTTTTCACTTCTTAACTTTATCTAACCTATTTGATAATCAACGTCCATGTTCTTTAGAAACTTCCTTTTCTTAGCTTCTGGGACATGATTCTCTCTCCTTCATAAGTAGGCCTCATACCTTTCTGGCTATTTCTACTCTCTAAGCAGAGGTCCTTCCTTAACTGTCGGGCTACTTCTGGTTAATCCTTGGCTCTTTTTATACTCCCCAGGTGGCCTTGCCTGGGAAGCTCCACAAAAATTCCACTTCCACATGGATGACCCTTCAATCTGTCTCTCTTATCTGGATTTTTCCCTATCTCCAGACCCAGAGGCTCAACTGCCTGTGAAATATCTACCAGAATGCACCATAGTTCACCTGAAATTTAGGAGGTATAAAGCTGAACTCACCATTTTCCCTGTCCCACCCCACCAAAAATCTGTTTCTCTTATATTTATCATCCCAGAGAAGGGGGCAGCAAGTTACAGCCTGTGGTTCAAATATGGCCTGCCACTATTTTTGTAAATAAAGTTTTATTAGAATACAGCCACACCTGGCCTGCCACCTATTTTTGTAAATAAAGTTTTATTGGAATACAGCCACACCCATTCATTTACATATTGTCTATGGCTGCTCTTGAGCTACAAAGGCAAAGGCGAATAGTTGAAACAGAGACCGCATAGCTCACAAAGCTGAAAATATTGATTTTATTTCACATTATAGCAAAAGTTTGCCAACTCCAGTTCTAGAAAGTGTCACCATCTTTGAAGCAATCTAGAAATCATTATTCACTCTCCCACCTTACCCATTCATTTACATACTGTCTATGGCTGCTCTTGAGCTACAAAGGCAAAGGCGAATAGTTGAAACAGAGACCGCATAGCTCACAAAGCTGAAAATATTGATTTTATTTCACATTATAGCAAAAGTTTGCCAACTCCAGTTCTAGAAAGTGTCACCATCTTTGAAGCAATCTAGAAATCATTATTCACTCTCCCACCTTACTCCTACACCAAATTGGTCACCAGGTTCTCTTCTACTTCCTAAATATGTATTGGATTTATCCAATTCATCCCCTCCTCTCTACCCTATCTACAATTGTCATTAGTTCAAGGCTTCAAAATCTGGCCTCCTGCCTACTTCTCCAGCTTTGTCTCCTTGTCATCCTTGCCCCATATAGCCCCTCCACTCCAATCATAAAGTGCTACTTCTCAGTCCCCAAGCTTGCCACATTCCATATAAGCAGGGCCTTGCCTTGTTCACCTGTAGTCCCAGCACCTACCCCAGGTCTTGTTAGAAGGCTGACGTTACAAGAAAGTACACATAGTGCCTTTATGGCTTTCATATACTGTTCCCTCTGCTTGGTGGGCCTTCCTATATACCCACCCCCGACAAACTTCTAAGCCTAAGACTGCCCAAGGATTACCTGCTTTGAGAAGAGAGCCTAATGCTCAGAGATAGAACTGATGCTCCTTTCTCTGTGCTCCCACAGTGATCATACATTCAGATCTCTATCATGATCACATGTCAGGATGACAAGTTTACATCTGTATATCTTCCCTGTAAGACTGTGGATTCTTTCACATTTCCTGTGCTCAGTACACACTGGGGAAGAGGGTCAGATCATAAGCACTTCCAGACTTCAGCATCTTGGTTGTACCTTTAACTATTGAATAAGCTAATTGACTCTGTATTCTGAAAAATATCGACCATTTAGTGTGCACTGTAGAGAAGTCGAAGAAGTAAGACTAAATTTCTTTAAACACAGTCTAGTTGAAGAGAACAGACATCCAAAGAAAAGCAATACAAGCACAAAAGGAGAGTAAGTTCATGAGGAATATAGTAGGAGATTAATGAGTCCATGTGATCTGGGAACATTTCAGAGAGAAGGTGAACTAGGGAGTATTTTAATAGGAAAAGAAAAGGTATTTCGAGTTTGAAGACAGAAGAGGTGGATATGGTAACAGCCCGAGTCTGGGTTTAAATGTAGATGGGACACAAGTGTAGTGTATAGACAGTCTAGCTGGAGTAAAGTGTTCATAATAGGGAGGTAGGAAATAGATGAAGAAAAGTTTCAGTGATAGGCCAAAGAGGTTATTCCGTAGGCAACTGAAAGTCACTGAAGGTCACAGAGATAGAACAAAAGTAGTGTCTTAGGAAAAACATTCTATACAATAAAGATACAATTGGAAAATAGAGGAAAACTTCTTCAACTTGATAAAGAATATCTACAAAAAACACCCTACAGCTAACATCATACTTAATGGAGAGAAACGCAAAGCTCTCTCTCCAAGATCAGGTACAAGGCAAGGCTGTCCCCTCTCACCACTCTTTTTCAACATCGTAGCGAAAGTTCTAACTAGTGCAGTAAGGCGACAAAAGGAAATAAGAGGTATACAGATTGAGAAGGAAAAAAAATAAAACCATCTTAGTTCAAAGATATGATTGAAAGGGAGGAGAAGGAACCCCGAGATCCCACCTTCTCCTTTAGTTTTGTCTGTAGAAAGAGGGTCAGGCTCTGTAGTTGCTTAGTCAGCCCTCTGAGCTCTTGGGAATACTGGCGTGTCTTCTCCAGGTCTTTCTTCTGGTTCTCTGCTATGGTGCTAGCCAGTTGAGCCCTGAAATAAGGAAGGAACAGATAAGACAGCAAAGACCAGGTGACCTTCTCTGAACACCTCTCCCCAATCACCTCTCCCGAATCTCTACACAGAACTGCATTTAAAGAGGGAAACAAAAGGCTCTTGGACTCTGTCACAATACCCTCCTTGGAGACTTTAGCTTCTAGAAGTGTTCCTGGGAAAGCTTAGCACTTAGAGGGGATGCACAGAAAGGTAGAGATCTTACTTCAGGTTCTCTACGGTGTCCCTGAGGTCCTCACACTGCAAGCTGCGCTCCCGGAGCACTTCCAGCGTAGTTTTCAACTGACACTCAACCTGGCCCAGCTCCAGGTGAGCAACCTGATTCTCTTGGTCTGCAAACTGGAGAGACAGGAGAAGGAAGAAAGGGAAGGAGCAAGAAAGGGAGGGGCAAAAGATGAACCTAAGTGGGAAATAGTAAAGCCCTGGGAACAGAGGCTTTTACTAGTCCATAGTCTGAAACCTCTCCTGAATACCATCAGGTAGAAGTCTCACTCCTGCCAGCTTCCCAGATTCAAGCCACGTTTCTTACCTCCAGTGTCTCCTTCAGGTCCTGCACCTCCTTGGCCAGGACAGCATGTTGTTGCTGCAGCTTTGCCTGCATGTGTTTTAGTGCCATCTCTTCCTTTTGCCATCTGCCAGACACCTTATATTAGATCCCACTGGTCCTATATCCTGGGCACCTACTGCCACAATAACTTGATAGGAACTCACTGAGTAGCCTGCTCTTCATTGCTCTGGGTAAGCTGGCAGAGCAACTCATCCTTCGTGGCCAGGTCCTGGGTACAGTGAGCATGCTGACTCTGTAGCTCTTCTAGCTGACTCTGCATGCTGGCAAGAATCTGCAGTTGAGCCTGGAGATCTAGACCAAAAGTATCCTAATGATACCATGTGATCACCAAGCCAGAACCTCCCCACACTTCTGCTCTAAAAGTGCTCTAGAGCACTTGCTTGCTCTACTGCCACACCCCAAGTCTTAGCAGGGCACAACTGCTTGAGTGCATGCATGCACACACACCTGCTGCTAGGCGACTGTTTTCCAACTCCAATTGTCCTATTTGGCCTTTGCAGTCCTCTAACTGGGTAGAGACTCGTTCCAGCTCCCTGGAAACCTAGAAAGAAATAATAGTTTTTCTCCCACAGTTTTTCCTGAATCAAGAATCCCAGGACTTAGTCCAGCTCCTCTATCTGGACAGAATAGTGAACCTCTTTGCTCCTGGGCAGCAACACTGCAGCCAATAAGGCTGATCCTCAGGAAAAAGTAGAAACAGGAAAAGGTGAAGGTGCTGAAGGGCAAAGGAGACAACTGGGCCTAAGGCCACCTTACAGTTAAGAGACCTGACTGGTCTCCAAACCCACAGGGTAGAAAGACGACAGGTCCCAGAGTAAGAGGCTAGTGATACCACTCATTAGAAAGACCTTCTACAGAGAGGAAGGAGGAAACCAGGCCTCAGCAGTCTCCACTCCTAATTTGTACCTGCTGTTTTTCCTCAATTGCAGTATCACGTTCCTGCAGGGTCTGCTGTCTCCTGGCTGTGAGTTTCTCTGTGAGTTGTCGAGACCGGCTCAGCAAAGTCGTCCATGTTATATACTACCAGGGGAAGCAAGCAGGTCAGTTGAGCACTCTTGGGGCAAGGCTCCTAATAGGGCTGGCTGTGAGTGAAGTAGCATGATGGCCCCAAATACTCACATCCAGTTGCATGGAAATCCAATCCTGTTGCAAGACTGAAATAAGACTCACTGTCTGCTGAGCCAATTCTTCTTTCTCAGTATGAAGGCCTACCTATACGAGAAGGAGCAACTGTGGAGGGGCCCCCCTTCCCTCTGGATGAAGCAAAGTGGGGGTATATGACCATCTTCCCAGTGTATCAGCATGGATCTCAGGAAAGGAAATGCCCTAAAATTACCAGTTGCGTCTGGGTCTCCTTCAAGAGGCCTCTGAATTCCCCCATGCATGCCAGGTCCTGTTTCAGCTGGCTGATGCGCTGGCTAGCATGTGCACAGAAAGCCTCTAGCACTGTCTCTGCCTGTTTAGGGAAGGAATTGTGAGGACACGGTAGGCAGAGGAGGGAAAAAGCACAAAAAGCCAAAACTGTCTACCACATACATAGTTTAGTTTGTTATTCACCAGGGCAGGCAGTTCTAAGGCCACCAATCTGTGTCTCAAGTGAATTTGTTTTCCTGTAGGAACCCTGAGGAAGAGACCTCCCAAATCCAGGAACAAAAGCCTGACACCTTACCGCATCCTTGCCTCTGAGGGCCATTTCCTCTCTGTGTTTTGCCTCTTCCCTTTCTGCTTTAAGGCTCTGGAGCCTTGCCTTCAATTTCTTCAACACATCAAAACAGCAGGAGATCAAGGTTTCTGCACGCCGAGACTACAAAGTAAGAATCAGATACAGTTTCTTTATTTTTTCAGCTTTCAGTCCCACCAGAGGCCTCCACCGTCATCTTCATGCTGCTTACCTCCTGACTCACAGTAGTTTTATCTTCCTCTAGGTGCAACAGAGATAAGTGAAGCAAGGATATCAGCTCTTTAGAGACCAGCGCCCATGATTGCTAAAGAAGGAAAGATGGTTAGGCTAGGTAAATAAAGTCACGAAGCAGGAAATAAGCAGGGATACTAGGGAAAAAAGCCACTGACCCCAATTTCAAGCTCCAATAAAAAAAGAGAAGTTCTTAACAAAGGTTTGGAGACCTCCCTTCGCTATCACAGCTGAGTACCACCATCTGCTAACCATCTAGGATTCTCTATTCTTGATCTTCACAGGAGACCCAGACATGGTATAAGGTCAATCAACACTTACCAGGACATTTCTGGCCTGCAGCAGGGCCTGTCCAACCTCTTGGCTCTCCAGAAGATGCTGAGATTTCTTACTTATCTAGCCAGAGAAACAGAGTTGTTCCTTTTGCATAGGCGGCACACACTACCGGCACCTCATTCCCCCTCCCACCCACTGAGATACAGGAGCCTTTCCTATTAAAAACAGGAGCAAGGCCAACATCTGTAGGTCAGGAGAGGAAGGGGGGCAGGGGATTAAAAAAATTAAAAAATAAAAAAATAAAAAAAAAACAGGAGCAAGGCTCACAGCTCAATGAAGCCAAGTCAGAAAAAAAATCCAGAGGTAGATAAAAATTTCCTTTTAAAAATACTTTTTTTAAATTATAAGGATATGTGCTTATTGTAAAATTTTAGAAATACAGAAATGAATGAAATAGAAAAAGAAATTACTGATTTCACTACCTAGAACAGTGATTCTTAACCAACAGTATAGCACCTGCCCCAAGACATTTCAATATACTTCCACACCACAGATTTCCTTACTAGAGGGATTTGCCATATTCAGTAAATTCTAAGATGATTATCTTTTTACATTTTAACACCACTGAATTGGGACGCATCTTAATATTGACAGTATCTTAGATTTGATGAAAGACAGTAATGCCTAAGAAAAATCACAATTTAGGTTATAATATATACGTAAATGTGAGGTCCTGTTTTTGTTACTTAATTTTATTATACTAATGTTATTTAGCCCTGAATTCATATTTACTCTCCTCATTGGAAGAGCTTGAAACTGGGACATCTGCTAATAGAGGGACCTATTAAAGTGAAATAACACACATATTTAACTGCTGATATTTTACCTCACCTCTAAGCCGCTCAGAGGTTATCTGAATTCTGATTTCCTTTCTTTAAAAACCTTGAACTTACGTTAAAATCTTTATAAAATCTTTATAAACATGTTATAAACATGTTAAAATCTCTATAAACATACTTTTAAATGACTGCAGAATATCCCATCTTATGGACATACTATTATTTTATTTTTTCATTTTTTTTTTAAAGTTACCATGTTTATGCATAACTCCCCCGCCCCCCTTAGAATATATCCCTAGAAGTGGAGTTACTGGGTCAAAAGTTTGAACTGCTTTAAGGGTCTTACTTAAACTGCCTTAAAAAATGTTGAACTTATATCTTATTGACAATAAGAAAATGCTTACCAGCATGATCTATTTTATTCTTTGCTATTTTGTCAGAAGAACATAACATCTCATTGTTTCAATTGGCATTTCTCTGATTACCAGTAACATTCTCAAATATTTATTAGTCATTTTTATTTTCTTATTCTCCTACCGTTCATTATCTTGGGGCAGACAAAAATCTTAGTGTGCTATATAGATACATATGATCTCAAAGGCAGCAGAGCTATGGAAAGATTTTAAAGTTCTGGGAGAAAAGTGGGGAGCCTTCTTGACTGCTGAAAGGCAGCCCTCATCTGGGAAAAAAACAACCGCGGGAGCAGCACTGCTGAGTCACGATGATACAGCAGCCTGGATTTGAGGAGGCAGATCTCTTGGAGTTCATCACTCTCTTCCCCAGCAAAACAGTCATCATTCCCTACTGCATCGTGCAGTAAAGCACGGAGCACCCCATGAGCCCTGGACAAGGCACACACATTGTTCAGAGCTGGGCAGTCAGGCAGGTGATGAGATTAGTGTGAAGGAGGCATCCAAGCGGCAAGGGCATGGCACTGTGATGGGGAATGGCTGAAGGTGCTGTCATTTCCCCTCTTTGGTTCTGCTTCAGTGGCCTCCAAAGGGATTTGGCAAGCTTCAAGGAAAGAGGTACAAGACCGACTCAGGGCTGGAGAATGAGGTCAAGGACAAGAGGAAAGGATACAAAAATAAGAAAACACAGGAGAGAAATTGAGAAGCTAGAGGAATGATGAGACTATGGTTTCCAGGATTTGGGCAAAAGGTAAAATCATTATTTGAGGATATTGTCAACCCAAAGGAGGTCTTTGGGCATTTAGAGAACATCTTTTCTCAGCAGCAGCCACCTATTAACCTCAACAGCCACAATACTGAGGCTCTCAATTCCTTCCCCAAACACCATTCCCTTCCTTTCTCAGCCTTTGTTATCACAGCTGGAGTCCTCTAGGACATTGGTCTTTAAACTGTTTTCCTCTCATATCTGCTACAATAATTTTGAAAGACTGAGTATCCTTAAGTTTAAATTGTTACAATGACTGTAATTCCCACCATTTTATAAATATTGACAGTTTAAAATAAAACTGTTAAACCACTCAACTATATCCAATGGTATAAATACTACATACACCATAATGATTTAATATCTATTTTATATCTTTAAAAAATACATGAACGAGCTCTTCTTTAACGGTCAGAAATTTTATATCATCTCTTTTTCCCCTTGAACTTATATTTTTACTCGTCTCAGAATTTTATCATAATGTAATATATTTTTCTACTTTAAAGTGTGTTATTAATCAATATATCTGCCACAACAAAAGTTCATCTAAATTTAAATTTCTTTTAAATTTCTCTGACCATAAGCTTTTAAGTGAAACGAACTTTCTTTTGGATGGAGAAATATTTTCATCAGTTGTATACTAATCATTGTAATAATATTATAATTTTAATAAAACCACAAAAATACCTAGTAAAATTTCATTGATAATCATTTATTAATGAAATTGATGGAGGAGCTCCCCTTCCCTTATTAGTTCATGTATCTGTGGATTACTATAATTCCTACAAAAAGACATGGTTCAGCAAAAATTCTACGCCTATTTTCCATCTTTCTAGATTTAAGCACTGAGAAATCTTTACATAAATGGGAATAAGTGGGAATGGAAGAAGAGGAGGGTATGTTACCACCCAATTCCAGGATCTCCTTTGAGATACATGCCAAAAGTCTCGTAGTGAACTTTCATCAAAAATGTTTAATGATCCACTAACATAATTAAAGTCTTCCTTCAATTTTGTTGAAAGCATGCAAAAATTATGTGTAATATGATCAATGCAGTCATTCACTTTCTCAGCATGCATACAAATATTTTCTATCGTTATTTGATTGCCATCCCTTGACAATGTAAGATTCAGGATATGTAGTAAATATGTTCTTCTTTAGTAAAGTGAGTAAGGGCGATTGAGAATGGGGAAGTAGGAAAGAATAAAAATTAGTAGAGTACATTTGGAAAATGAAGATCTAGAAACTGATTCCTTTGAAGTTTCCTTGATTGCATTCCCTTGGAAAGTGTGGACGTACCCCAGGGGTATAGTGAGTACTCACAGCGTTAAGGGATTTTCCAGATCCACAGCTTTTACAACATATTCTAAGGATGAATCTGTGGTTAAGGAGTCTCCTTTGCCCTCTGGCAGTTTATCAATTTAAATTCTGAGGAAGAGGGCCCACTGGGATCCTCTATACTTTGGGAGTAATCTTCTTACCCCACTGGGAGAGGTGTCAGTTGTGTCAGTCTGTGTGCTACTGTCCTGAACTTCTGGGTGAGGAATAGTCAGCTGGCTCTTCCAGTTCTGCAGCTGGTGGGAGAGAACCTCCAGAATGACAAGAGAGTTCATCAGGTTATCTTCCAGGTCGTGTCGAGATAAGGCAGTCAGATCTGGAGGACGGCTGCATCAGGAAGAAAACATGAGGAAATAAAAGACAAGGAAAGGGATGGAAGTGACAGGTCCAGTTTAATGGAGCCCAGGAGACACAAGGATATAGGAACACTTACCCCCATAGGAGATGCTCCCTCTCAGAAGTATTGTCCTTGGTGCCTACTAGGCCTGTCTGTGATGTGTTTGTACTCTTTTCCTGTGGCACTGGAGGGGTAAACCAAGTCCCTACTGAGCAAGTAGAGAAAGGGGTAGTGCCAGTTGCAGCATCCCGAAGCACAGAGGGAAAGGATAAGCTCTGGCGGAGATTTTCTAGCATGACTGAGGTATTTACACCTTTTTCCAGCCAGGCCAGTGGGGACATCCAAGGCCCTGTATCAGAGTTCAGAATCCTACCAGCATCTTCTACTGCTGGGCATGGAGCTGCCTGGGATTCCATTTCTCCTGGATTTGGGATCAGGCATGAGGATGGAATATCTTCCATATTTAAGACACGTGCTTGATCTCCCAATTCAGCCTCCTCAGTGAGTGTGGGAAAGTTCATTTCTCCTTCCTCTATAGCTCTGTGTTCCACAGTTTCCTCCCCTGGGTCCACATGACTGACAAGGAAATCTGCTGCTAAGGCAGTTGGAGGGCAAAGACAGAGCATGGAGGAAGGCAAAATGGCATTAGTTTCAGAAGCAACTAAGTCCTCAGGCACAGCCTCAGAACTACTGTCCCTCAAGTTTTCCCTGGAACAGTGTAGTTGTTGCTCAGAACAGGAATTTGATGGATACTCTAAGAGATGGGATGGAGGGTTCTGAAATGTAGGTTTCTCGGGCATAGCGGGAACAACTCTTGAAAAGCTGTCTTCCATGCAGGGTGTCTCCCCCTTTCTCAGCAGATCTCCTGGCCTCAAAGGCTTATCTAGAGAGAAACTGTTTATTTCTGCCATAGTATCTAAATGGGCTTTAAGTGTAATGTCTTGCTGCTGTCCTCCTGGGGAGGAGGGTACAAGGATCATAGTTTTAATCACATTGTTGTCCAGTGGGTCTACTGCTTCCTCAGACGTTTTGGGAGTAGAGTTGGTTTGAGGAATCAGATTTAGGGGCTGCTCATCTGATTCATGTTGACAAGCTTCTAACCACTTTGACGGATGGCTGCACTGTTCTGATGGAGAGTCTGTCATCTTAGGATTTTCAAAACCCAGTAGAGATGAGTTGTTGGTACATTCCTGCCAAAGGAAACAAAAGTAGTTGACTAAGGTAGTCAGTTCTGGTTCCTAACATACAATTATGGGTGTAGGATACTGTCCAAACTCAGAAAAAGAAAGAGTTCTCATTACTTCTGCATAGGCAAGAACTTGGCGAAGCCTTGTTGCTCGCTACAAAGACCCAACAGCAGGGAAAGAAATGCTGGGAAGCCATTTTGGGTTCTTCCAAGTGAACCAGCCTACAATATAAACAAGGTTGAGATAATTTATCTAAATCAGAGGATAGTAGCTTGAAAGTAACCCCACTTCTTTCCAATGCTAACTCCAACCCACTTTTAGGTAGGAGGGACCCCTAAGGTCAAGCTCTGTCAAAATCTAGAGTTGGTACAAGATTTATTGGGAACCAGAGTTAGAGAGCACTTGGCCTACAGAGATCCATGGACCCTAGGGAGAAAAGGCAACATCAACCTGTGCCAGCGACCTAGTCTCCCTGACTCCAAGAGCTGAGGGTATTCTAAATACATGGGTTGAATCCATTCAACCCCTAAGACTTAAAGAGCTCTAGTCTTTGCAGCAGAAGAGAATGAAGAGTGGCAAGACTTCTTCCTGGTGCCCTAATAAGAGACTCACAATGTCCCTACTGCTGTTTCACAGAGACAAAGACCACTGCACTTTCTACCGCATATAGGGTTGTTGGTTCTGAAACTCAATAAACAAGAAAAGGAAAATATGAATGTACTTAAGTGGATCTAGTAGCCAGAGAAAGAACAAACCCTAAGATAGTCAGAAAAGGTAGACCCTAACAAAATACAGATGATGGAAAAAACACGATAATTTGAACCAAAAAATATGATTACATAAAAGGATTCAAATACAACACACACACATACACATACACACACACAGAGACTTTCTGGAAATAATAAATATTATTTTTAAACAAAAAATTAGAGTAAAATGAATTGAAAGAAGATGGTCAGAGATGAGACTAGAATTACTGGCTCGGACAATCAAATGAAAGAAATATCATAAAGCAAAGATAAAAATACAAAGAAATGCAAATCTGAAGAAAAAGCTAAAAGAATTGGAAGATAAATGCAATAAACCTGACATGTAAATAAAACAAGTTCCAGGAGAAAAGAGAACACATACAGGTGAGATACTGATTAACAAATATTAAAAGAAAATTTCTCTAAGGTAAAGAAAGACTTGAGTTTGCATATTGAAATGGCTCACCAAGTCCCAAGCAGGATTAACAAGAAAAAAATACAAGAAAAGATAAAATTTCTGAACTACAAGGAAGACTAAACTATTTTAAAAGCTTTAGGTAGAAAGACCAATTATTAAAAAAAAAAGAATCAGACTTACATGATATTTCTCATTTACAGTAGTGGATGGAACTTTATAACACAAGATCGAGCACTAAAAAAAGAGCTTCTGATATTCTGGCAATGTCCTATTTACTGACCTGAATATTGGTTACAATGATGTGTACTTTATACAAATTCATTAAGCTGCATGTTATGTACTTTCAAGTATTTTATATCAATTTTTAGAAGTTTTTCTTTCAAAATGCTAAAGGAAAAGTAGAAAATAAAGGGAATAGCAAAGAGACACCAGACAAAAGAAAACAGAGAGCAGAGGCAGCAATATTAATATCAGACAAGGTAGAATGTAACTTAATAGCATTATTATAATAAAAGACATAATTGAAGATATATAATACAAAAAAACAATTATCAGTCTACACTAAATAACTCAGAAGCTAAATATATAATCCAAAAACTTTTAGATGAAAAGTGTACCTTAAAGTCTTTGCAGTGTTTATCAACTCCTATTTATTCCTTTAAAAAAATCTCTTTAGGACAAAATATTTGCAAATCATAAAACTGATAAAGTTTTATGAATATATAAAGAACTCCTACAACTCAACAACAACAAAATAACCCAACTTAAAAATAGGCAAACTACTTGAATAGACATTTCTCCAAAGAAAATATACAAATGACCAATAAGCACATGAAAAGATGCTCAACATCATAATCTTTAAGGAAATGCAAATAGAAAATATAATGAGACAACTTCTCACACCCATTAGGATGGCCACTATTAAAAAAAAATAGTCGCCTTTTTGAGCCATGCTTCTCTTGCTCAGGCCCGCTTCCACATCTGGAAGTGTACTTTCCCTTCTAATAAAACTTCTCTTTTCTACTGTAAAAAAAAAAAAAATAGAAAATAACAAGTGTTGGTGGGGATATGGAGAAATTGGAACCCTTGTACACTGTTGCTAGGCATGTAATATGGTGCAACTGCTATGAAAAACAGTATGGCAGTTCTTCGAAATATAAGAAATAGAATTACCGTATGATCAAGCAATTCCACTTTTGAGTATATACCCAAAAGAACTGAAAGTAGGCTCCAGAATAGATATTCGTACGCCTATGTGCATTGTGGCATTAGTCACAATAGCCATAAGGTGGAAGCAACCTAAGTAAGTGTCCATTGACAGATAAATGGATAAACACAATGTGGTATATATACATACAATAGAATATTATTCAGCCTTAAAAAGGAAGGACATTCTGACACATGCTACAACATAAATGAATTTTGAAGACATTATGCTAAGTGAAGTAAGCCAGTCACAAAATAATAAATATCATATGATTCCTTTCATATGAGTTTCCTAGAGTAGTCAAATTCATAGAGACAAAAAGTAGAAAGGTAGTTGCCAGGAGCTTGGGGAGGGAAGAAATAGAAAGTCGTTTAATGAGTATAGTTTCAGTTTTATAAGATAGAAAGAGTTCTGGAGAATGGCTGCACAACAAAGTGAATAAAGTTAACGCTATTGAACAGTGCATTTAAAAATGGTTAAGATAGTAGATTTTATGTTATGTCTGTCTATCTTACCACAATTTTTTTAAAAATCACTTTAAAACACCTCTGTCAAAACTCAACAGATCTGGCAGACTAAAACACATGCAAGGACAGAGTAATTAACTATCTGTTGATGGAAATAAATAGAATGTGATATCCTTTGAACAGTAAATACGCTTTTATCATATGTTCATGGAACACTTAGAAAAATTGATCCTATACTTGGCTATAAAGAAAATAAATTACAGTCTGATCATAATACAAGAAAATAAATTTAAAAGGTGACAGAAAAAAGTTTTTAAGCACTTGGAAATTAAGAACCACTCTTAAATAATCCCTGAATTAAAGATAAAAATCAAAAGAAAATTATAAACTAGCTAGAAAGCATGACAAAGGATGACTATAATAGACAAAGAACACTTATAAAATGACATTTATAAAAAGAGTAACAATTCAATAGAAAAATGAGCAAATAATATAAATAAACACTTCACAAAAGAGCAAATCCAAATAACCAACACACATATAAAAGATACACTCACTGGGAGTCAGGAAAATGCAAATTAAAGTAACAATAAGATTCCACATCATACTGGCTGAAATTTTAAAGATCTCTAACAACTACCGGAGGAGGTGATGTGCAGAAATGGATATCCTTATATAATGCTGGAGAAATAGCTATTTTAGATAGCAATCTGGCAAAATTTATTACAATTAAAAACATCTTCCCTTCAACCCAACAATCCTACTCCTGAAACTGTATCTTGTCGAAATAAAAGTATCAGTACCTAATACAAAGATATTTATAAGTTAGCATTGTTTGTAGAAGCAAAAAAATAAAAACACAAATGACCATTTATGAATAAATTATGATTCATGTGTACCATAGCATCTTATGGATTAGTTCTACACCACCTAGTTAGAGTCATGATTTTCCCATTTTTGTGCTTTTTGTTGACATGGAGGGATTTGTACCACATTGTTAAATGAGAAAAGCAACATGCAGAGAAATGTATACAGTCGATCCTCATTATTTGTGGATTCAGTATTTGTGAAATTGCCTACTCACTAAAATTTATTTGTAACCCCAAAATCAATACTTGCAGCACTTTTGGTCATCTGTGGAGTAGCGAAAATATGAATCACCTGAAACACGCACCGCCAGCTGAAGCTGAACAAGGTGACATTTTTTTGCTTTCTTTTTTAGTTGTCATACTGTAAACAATCATCCTTTTTGTGATCTGTTTAGTGCCACTGTTGTTGCATTTTTTTGCTTTTTGTTGGTGATTTCCCTATTTTAAATGGCCCCCAAACATAGTGCTGAAGTGCTGGCTAGTGTTCCAAAGTGCAAGAAAGCTGTGATGTGCCTTATGTGCATTAGATAAGCTTCATTAAGGCATAAGTGCTGTTGACTATGAGTTCCATGTTAGTGAATCAACAATATATATTAAATAAAGTGTTTTAAAACAGAAATATGTATAAAATAAGGTTATGTATTGATTGGCTAATGAAAAATGTTTGATCAGAAGCTTGCAGGACCATAATCCTGTATTTCCCCAAGGAGCAGTAGTCCAGTAATTGCTAATTAAGTATTCACAGAGACTTTATAGGACATAACTACTACAAATAATGAGAATTGACTGTATATTGGGATCGAGCAATGAAATAATTTTGTATGTTTGCATATTATTAAGAACACAGAGAAAAAAATGGAAAGGTACACATTAGGATATTAAAATGAATTGGGAAGAGCAGGGCATGTGTGAGTGAGATTAATTCCAGAGGAAGGGCAAATTAGAGAGTGAAGCTAAAAAAAGTGAAGCTAAGGAAAGAGAGAGAGAGAGGGAAAGGAAAGGGGAAAAATTGCCTTGATAAAATATGGATGTGTGCATATATAAACACATACAAATAGATAGTCACACATAAAGAGATGCAAGGACGAATTTTTAAATATGATAGTTATTGAAGATAACAATCATATTTTCTTTCTTATTATTTATATATTTTTCAACTATTTCAAACAATAAACATCTTTTATATAAATAACCAAAATTGTAAAAAGCAAAAAAACTCTTTTCTAACTATATCAGGAGGTAGCAAGCAAGCAAGGGGGTAGAGAGTCTTAAATTCCCACTATGATTTTTAAATGGCTATGGTTAAATTCTATAAGCTCTATGAAAATCAGTTCCCACTTAGTACTTATTTCTTTCCTACCTAAGCTGTACTGTCTAATATGGTAACCACTATCTACACGTCATCATTTAAATTAAAATTAAATACAACTAAAAACTTAGTTCCTCAGTCATGTTAGCCACCTTTCAAGTGCTCAATAGCCACCTAACTAATAGCTACCAAACCGCACTGCACAGATAATCAGACATTTCCATCATCCCAGAAAATTCTATTGGACAGTAGGTGTTAGATTTCTTTTAAAGAAAATCTGCTACCTTCATACATTGTTACTCAGGCTATCATCTGTTTTTACATATTCTCCTTTCCTCCTCTAACCTACTTTATTTATATCCTATCTCCTTCCAAAAATAATTCAGACTGCATGAAAATGAACAGGTAGACAGATCCATAGGTCAATTGATCAGGTTAATGAAATACAAAATCATGATCAAAAAAGAAAAAAGAAGCAAATCTTCCTATTTCAAGGAGTAACAGTAGCTATACCTGATGATCAGATTTGACCCTGAGCTTTCTAGAAACCAGAGCAAGAGGGAAAATATGGTAAACTACATGGTTCTCATTATTAGAAAGAGAAAAGAATAGAATGGATAGATATTGCCTCAATTCTAGCAGCTGTCTGATCTTTGCGTAAGTGAGCCCATGGTAGAGAGAGACTACTAACCAAAGTGATAGTATTTCTCTGTAGTTTGGTAAAGATTGAATGGGGAAAGAGGTGATAAAAATCTAACAGTAAAATAGAGACCTAGGTTCTCAGTGGATTTCCTTTAACCACGCTAGGGCACCTCTCTGATGGCCTGAATAGCTGTAAACGGATGTCACTGAGGTAGAAGACTTCATTAACATTATTAATTACGTTCCAGCTCTGGCCCTCTGTTCCTCTGAGCTCTCGGCTTTGGCAAAAAGCCCAGTCGAGAGGCTGGTCAGGCAAATCTCACCTGCAGCTCCAGTTTGCACAGTGATGGGGTCAGCGAGTAGCCCATCGGGGGCCCTTTTCCAGAGCTGGTGAGGGCATCGGGGTGCAAGTTAAGTTCTCGGAGAGGAGTTCTCATAGCTGGTTTTCCCTGAGAATGAAAGAAGACCGTGTGAGGAAGCCTGGGCTCTACCAGCCCCCACCCTTTTCCTCCCGCCTTAAGAAGCTCAAAGGGCAATAAGAGGCACCTACCCCAGTAGCGCCGATGCGTCAGGGCCAGCAAAACACCCCACACGCCCACCGCCCCCAGGCTCGATCAAAAATTCCCTGAAGCTCTCCCACTCACCGGCTGGGGCGAAAGCGACAGGCTAAGGTTCACTTTTTTCACCCGCCACATCTTCAACATAGAACGTACGACGACCACCTGGCAGACCCAAAAGCTGACTACTTGTTCACCCGCCGTCTTCATTTAAAACTGCTTCGCGTTTCCCGATTGGCTGCGGAGCCTCAGTGCGTCAGGCTGGCGCATCCACTCCAGGGTCGAGACCAGAGGACGGTGGGCGGGGGCCATCTCAGGCCCCGCCCCCGCCCGACAGAGTTGCGCGAGTTCCCTCTGCCTTCCGGTCATCACTGACGCGTGCAGGAGGGTTGGATGCGTGCCAGGACTTAGACTCGTATGTAGCCTCATCTCGGAGAGTCCATCTCCTCTGCTTCCAGTGGGCCACCCTCACACCCTATCAGAAAAGTTGACTCCGTAGCCTGGCCTTAGGAAGTCTCTCCTTAGGTTTCCATCAGTTATCTCTTGCGTCAGTCTTGACCAGAAAGAGCCGGTCAGGGAGTCTGGAAGGGAAAGGTGAGTGGAGCGTTTTTTTACTTAGGCTTTGTCTGTCTGCGCATAGGTCCTGCTTCGGTGATGGCCTGAGACGTGGTTCTCAACCCACGCTGTAATTTAACCACCTCAGAATTTCTCATGTTTTTTGGGGTCTTATCTCAGGGCCTGCAACGAGTTTACTAGAACGATAACTAACATGTATCGAACATTTGCTATGTACCTGGCACCTTTACAGATGCTTTATATGTATTAACTCCTTTAGTCTTCATAAGGATCACTGTAATTATCCCCATTTTACAGATGAAGGAACTCAGTCATAGATCATGTCATTTGCCCATTGCCCTGCAGGCAGCAAATGGCAGTCAAACTTACAACCCACACTACCAACTACTACTACATTTTCCTGTTGCTTGAATCCCCTCTGTATGAGAAATCTAGCTAGGGAAGGTGAAATTGAATTTTGGAAGGTAAGTATTCAGAGTTAATAGTTTATGATAAAGTGTGTTCCATTGACACTTACAGTAGCTTTACACTCTGAAGTTTTAATGAATTTGGAAAAGGCAATACTTCAAAGAGAAACTATAATATTATGAACTTCAGGGCCCACAGGGGACAACTTTGTTGCCCAGTATCATAGCCACTAGCTCTTGAGCACTTCCAATGTGGCTAGTCCAAACTGAGATTTTATAGATATAAAATACAAACTGGATTTCGAAGACTTTGTATGAAAAAATGTAAAATATCTTATTTTTAAAATATTGATTACATTGAATTGATATTTTAGATATAGTGAGTTAAATAAAATACATTAAAATTAATTTCACCTGTTTCTTACCTTTTTAGTATAGCTACTAGCAAACTTAAAATTATGTATGAGGCTTACATTTTTATTGGACAGCACTGCTCTAGCATCGTAATGGTCCCAGCCTGTAGGCTCTAGAAATAACAGCTACTTGAATGGAAAACTGGGAGAAAGACAATGTTAAGAGTACAAACTTGATCCTGGGATTGCCCAAGACTCAGGAGAAGGAATCCCAAGGTATATGTACTTGTGGTCAAAAAGATTCAGTGAATAAAACAAGGGTGGGAAGTGACCAAGAAAAACCAAGATGGAAAACTCTTAAGTGCTAGTAGTAAAAACTTGTACTATAGAAATGTGCGAATTGGAATGCTTGATTGGTCCTCTTTGTAGCTGGTATGTCAGATGCCAGATGAGTAGCCAAAGGGATGTGCTTCCAGCAGCAAATTAGGATGGATATGGAGGAGGGTTATGGAGGGGGTAGATGAGAAGGAAAATGCTGTTGTAAATAAAATAAAAGTTTGTTGGTGGTGTTTTGTATAATTTGGTATCTTTGAAATTATAAAAATAATAGATGCTTATTATAGCAAGTGAAACAATACAAAGATGCATTAAAGGCAGAGCTTCCCTGCCTGAAATAACCAATAGTATGTACACTTTTATAAAAATATATATACATAGACACACGCACATTTTTTTCTCAAAAAAATAATTGGTGTGCAGACTGGGGTCTCTGGAATAGAGGGCTAGTGCCTTTTCTTCTTCTTTTTCCACTTGCATTACTCCTCTCTCTCTTCCATCTCTGTCTCGCTCGCCCACCCTCTCTCCCCCCTCCCACTTTCATACATACACAACAGGGAAAGAAGGCACTCTTTTACAAGAATGGTAAATTTGCTTCTACATCTTTTTCCTCAGTGTCTTGTGTAGAGCCTTGTAAGTCAACTGATGTAAATCTAATTATCACTTCATATTCTTGGCCCTTAAAATACCTTTTTCTAAATTTGTAAGAGTTCTATAGACATCAACTGTCATCACACTGCAATTTTTTTTTAATTTTCTATTTTTTTTGTTCATTGACTTTATTTATGGCCAAAGATAAAACTTATGTGGTCAAGATGTTTATCTTTCCTTTCAGAGCATCTGGATTTATCTTGAGTCATTCACTCATCAAAATTTTATGTAAATGTTTTCCTTTTTCTTTTATAGTGCTTTCATTTTCTGTCTTGGTTTAAGTTATCTCCTCCAATGATTGATTTTAGGTCTACTCTCTCAAATGTTCTTCTAAGATTCTTAATGTTTTGATAATCACATCTAAAGCCTGATGTCTCTGGAATTAAGTTTTGTTTGATATAAAGTTGGGGTCCAACTGTTTAAAAACAATTGTCGTTTTACTGAACCAAAGAGGCAGTGTGACACTGTAAACTAGTGAAACTCAGAGGCCAAAGAAATCTGAAATAATGATATGTTCTCAGAATATAAGCAAAACCAACCTATTGGGAAGAAGGTAGCATTCTTTTTTTGTAAATAACCATTCTTGATTAATCTATTAGAACTCTTCATAGGGGTTGTATTAGTTTCCTTGGACTGCCATAACAAAGTACCACAGAATGGCTGACTTAAACAACAGAAATTTATTTTCTCACAATTCTGGAGGCTAGAAGTCTGGGATCAAGGGGTCAGCAGGGTTAGTTTCTTTTGAGACCTCGCTCATCAGTTTGTAGATGGCCGTCAACCTTCACATAGTCTTCCTTCTGTGTGTGTGTGTTCTAATTTCTTCTTTATGAAGACACCAGTCATATTGGATTAGGGCCCACCCATATGACCTCATTTTAACTTAATTACATCTTTAAAGACCCTACCTCCAAATACAGTCACATTCTGAAGTACTGGGGGTGAGGACTTCAACATATGAATTGAAGGGAGTGACACAATTCAGCACGTAACAGAGGTTAATAATGTCATGAATATGATTTTAATTTTTTAAAAAAGCTTTGACAAGATATTTACATTGAGGACTATTTAAAGAGTAACCAAGGAATTGAGATTACTAGTCTGTTAAATTCGGTTAAATCAGTGAACAAGTAAACAAATGAACAGATCAATATATGACCAAGTAACTTAGGTTAGAGGTAAGAAACTACAAAGTGGACCTACAAAGACACTTTTCTGGAAGAATATAAGGATTGGTGTTAAGACTAATCATAAATTATTATAAAAGAGAGAAGGGAATAGAGTAAAATATCCATATATACAGGTATATCTGAGTTCTTCTAGGTAATGAAAAGTCAAATCATAGGGCTGAACTTAAAAGATTATTTTAGGTTATATATATAAATTTTAAGTGAATTTAATGTAAATAACTAAAAAGTATATTTATAAGTCAGTAATTATGAATGGGAGTGGAGGGTAGCAGGACAGAATGCCTTCCAGGGATAATATGTCACGACTAGGGGATGAGGACAATGTTTTTTTTCAAATTATACTTTCTGAAACTTTGATTTTCTATCACTCCCTCTACTCTACCCTGAAAATCACTGCTGTAGTGCACCACTGAGTGAAGAGAGTATGTGAATAATGTCCTCATTTGGTAAGAAATTATGCAAACTACACTTACATAATCATCATCTGTAAGCAATCTAATATGACCCAGGAAAGGGACCCTTGTAACATTATATTAACCATGTCCTAAAGACCTTAACCGAAAATGCTGCTGTGACTAGAGAGACTATATAATGTTGGGCTACCTGAACATTGACACTGAGCCAGACACAGTATCATAAAATCCTCTGCATCTGGCCTTTGAAAAAGCATCATAGAAATCTGAAACTCATTCCCCACAATTAAGAACCAGTGGCTATAACCCCCTCATTTTATACATAGGAAACTAAGATCCAGAGAGGTTAAAATGACTTGTGTAAAGACACTGAGATAGTTATTGGTGGATCCAGGCACCAGGTCTCCTAAATTCCAATCTAATACTCATAACTACAATTTTAGAAGCTATTAATTCCTATTTCTAGTATTCAAGGTTTTTATCCAATGTGCAGTTCTGGTCACTACAACTTAAAATAAATGTAATAAAGCTAAAAAGTGTCTAAAGAGAAACAAATGAAATAATTAAAAGGATAAAGGATACATTCTTTATTTATATGCCAACCTCATTCCAAAAAGGCTTACAAAAATGTAGATAATATAGTAAGATTAAAAAAGATTAAAACATAGGAAAATGATAATTAGGAAAATAAAGGTAGAAAAGGAAGATGAAACCAAGAATGTGGCTAGCATACAAAATACATAACATGAAGTCTAAACACTTGCTGGAGAGGTGGGCCACAAATTTGCTCTAAAAATACAGTCAGTTGAATATTTAGTGTCTTAAGATAAAAACCAAACAGTAATTCAGGAAAAGCACAACAGGATTCAAAGAAAATTTCTCCTATGCATGTTCAAATAGAATATTAAGAACTGTAATCATAAATACCCTTTACAGAACCAACAGAAATTAAGTTTCATAGGGGATTGATACAGATTCCCAAAATGCAACCCAGAAAAAGCAATTCTACAGAGGCCAATATAATGCCAGCAATGTACAAGGGAAATCTGGCTTAACCAGGGACAGAATTAATAGACATACCCAGAATACTTTCTAGACTCTCTTAGTCTGGAAACAGAGAGAAGATGTAACTGAAGAATAATGAAAAGTCAGAAAGGCCAGACATGGATACAAATTTAAGGTCCAGATGAGTTTCTTTACTAAAGGAAAAGCTCTTTAAATCTTAAGTGGATGTCATGCCTCTTAATCCCTTGTTTTGCCCATCGGAAACTGAATCCTGGGATGTCTAGGGCAATGTTCAGTTTAAGAATCCTTATGTCTTTCAAAAAAGTTCTGTTTTAGAAAACATTTGGATAACTATTCCAGTTATCCCTAGAGAAGGCATTTAACCCACCCATGTTTTAGTTCCTATTCCTCACATTAGGCTATTAGATTAACTTTTTAAATTTTTTAAAATTAAATTTATTACAGACTGGCTTTCAGCCCCGGAATCAGATGTTTTAGCTGCATATTTAGGGATTGAAATGCCAGCTTTTGAGACCTCTGAAAAATATTCATACTGCTTCTGACAAGCCTGTTAAACATATAAATAGCACCTTAGGAACCCATGAAGTATTATTGCTCAAGAAAGGAAACGTGGTAAAGAAACAAGGAGAGAGAAAAGCAGAATAAGCCTCAGGCTCAAAGCTTCAGGGCATGAGCACTGGAAATATGAAGCAGAGAAAGAGGTCAACACTCTGATCTGAAATGTTTAATTGAGAAGTGGGTTGTGTGATGGGGGAAGGGCTGAGGTCAGTTGTGGCTGCTAGTAGTAAAATGCCCAAAATTTGAATGCTGGTACAAAATGCCTAGAAGAATAAGAGAATGATAACAATAATAGAATGGTAAAACAAACTGGGTCATCAAGGTGGTCATACTGAGTTGGCAGTGGAGGAGATCCTCAGGTTCCAGATGGGCCCCAATCTACAGTAGAGGGGTTCAAGCAAAGCTGGGGTGACCCAGGTAGGACTCCAGGTTACAGTCAAAGTCCTTGAAGAACATAGACTCCGATGGACTAGGCTGGGTAGCTTGTGTCTCCATGTCAAAGTTCACTGGCTCCTTCTGTAGTAGCTCTGAGTCAAAGGCCACACCCCGAAAGAAAGGGTGGACCTGGAAGTGATGCAAATGATGTAGACGCTGGAGGGGATTCTGGCATAAGAGCTGAAGGGAAATAGAGCATGAAGGCTGAGGGCTGGGATAGGAAAGGGGCTGAACAGAGAAGGTGAAAAAGGAAAAAAGTTCATTTTTTCCTGTGGAGGGCAGGAAGAACAACACTAAAGAGAAGAGGATTTGTAAAAGAGGGAGACAGACTAATTTGGGGGCAAAGGTAGGAATAAAGCAGCAGTATTGGTAAGAAAGCGGCACTGGCCCACTCTCTCAGAAGTGACCTGTTATGGATGGGGAGATTTAGAGGACCAGAAAACAGGAACGAAATTTGAAGTGCTGGTTAAGGAGCAAGTAGTGACGCAGTACTTGATCAAGGTGGAGCTCCCCACCCCCCCAAAAAAGTAATCAGAGGAATGGGGACATACACTTCAATGATAGGGAAAGGAGAGAGTAAATAGTTTGGTAGTCAAGAAGGAAAGCAGTGCTCACCCTTACCTCATGGAGCAGAAGTGAGAGCCCCTGGTTAAGAGAAGCTGGGATCTCAGAGTCATAGTGGGTCACACTTGCCAACATGGCCACATGATCTCTCTCTGCAGCCACTGGGAACTGAGTTGGGGGCAGGGGAGTGATATCATTCCTGAGTAGGAGTAAGGCAAGGTCTCTTAAGGTCCTCCTTCTTCCCACCACAGAGCAAAGCTCCTCTCTTCTCTGCCCAGTGTCACTACCATTCTCTCACCTTTCCAGTTGCCAGAGAGAAAAGCAAGACACCCAGGGACCACCAATCAGCAGCATGGTTGTAAGGCCCTCCACTCAGGACCTCTGGGGCTACAGATTTAAAAGATACTTGTCACTGACATCTGTGGGCTATAATGCCCAATAATTACCCACCAATTTTAGCCTCTCTCTTACCCATGTATTGAAGAGTGCCACAAATAGTATAGGCTCTAGCTCCCTGGGGCAGGTGGCGGGACAAACCAAAGTCTGTCAGTTTCAGATGACCTATAAAAGGTAACATAACACCACCACTCTTTTCTAACCCCCCATCTGCTATGATTCATTCCCAAACTGGAGTACCTCTCATCTGGGGCTAGGAAAAGGATTTACCTCGTTCATCCATGAGGATATTTTCCATCTGAAAAATCACAGGTGAGAAATTATTATTCATCCCTTTCCTTTTGACACTTTCATCATATATACCCCCCAGCTGAAAAGGATGCCCTACTCAGCATTTAAGTCTATACCTGGAGGATCTTTGCTGAAATCCTTACACCCATGAGGGTCCCAAGGTCAACTGTTCTCAGCTTCCCCCTACCTTGTACCTGTGGAACTTACTGAGGCCCCTCCTCAGACAAAGAAAAAAAGCACTTAATTCTACCTTCACATCTCGATGGATGATGCCCAAGTCATGGAGATAGCCTGTGGATGACAGCAAGTGTAGGGTGTGCTGAAGCGCTCTTGTCCTTTCCAATTTCTCTGGTAGCCCCACCCCATCCCTATCTCTGTTCTTTGACAACCCCCTCCCCCACCCCCGAGTTAATATCAGTTCTCTTCTCCCCCACCCTTAATTTTTCCTTCATTTCCATTACCACTCTTGTTTCACTTACACAGCACCAGGACCAGCTCAGCAGCAAAGAGGCGGATGGAAGCCTCAGCAAAGCAGCGAACAGTGGACCACAGGGAGTACAGATCTGTGCTACAGTAGCTGCACACTGCAAAGCACCAGAAGTCTAGGCAATATTTGGAGGTTACTGTGCCTGGGTTTGAGGCACTGTAGGCCTCCTGCCCAAACTGATGCCACCTGCTGTTCCCTCTCCCTTTGGGAGAGAGAAATGCTATAAGAAGGGGAACAAAGCAAAGGCAGAACAAGCCAAAGGGTGGGTAATCTCAGGTGGGGAGTATGGTAGAAGGACTCTTGGGAATGAGGAGAGAGGCGAGTCACTCACTAATGAACAGGTGCCGTTTTCCCTGCCAACTGTCCCCCAAACCATGTACAAAAGGATGGTTGATCTGTCGCTAGGGACAAAGAAAACAGAAAGTTAGGAAAAAACAGTATCAGTGAGAGGATCAAGGCAGAGAAGAAGTCAGAATATACCTACTTGTGCATAAAGGGGGCTGCTGCCCTACCTCTCAGTTCAGGTCAACTAAACTGCCTGCCTGGTAATCTGGAAACCAGCATAATAATAAGGAACACACTGAGACATGCTGGAGAGATTTCCCTGGCAGGACCTAGAAGAACTCTGCTGATAGCTACTTTTCCCAGGGTATACTTTTGTTGTGGCAGAGAGTGGGGCAAAACTAGGAAGAGCAGGATAACTGGACAAGAAAAGTGCTTTCTCCACCTGTAGTTTAGTTCTTCCTAGGATCCTTTCCAGGGGCTCTGTGCCTACCTGGATGCTAACCTCATCTTTGCACTGCTTCAGGATGTCCCTCTGGAGGACCTTGACCTTGGGCACCACCTATAAAAGGAAAGGAGTGATGACTCCCAGAAGGGAATAGTGTTGAATCGCTTATTCCTCTTAACTTTCTAGAACCAAGACTGGAGACAGGAACTAGAGAAGAATGTGGTACAGTACCTAGGTCCCTACCTTCACTGTAAATACTGCTTTCTGGCCACAATCTAGCACCTTGAAGACAGTTCCAAAGGAGCCTTTAGCCACAAAGCCTATAATCTGTACAGAAAAATGGAGAACAGGGCAATTGAGACTGGTCTAGATTTCCCAAAATTGAGACCCCTTCAAGAGATTCAATTGACCTACCTTCAGTTGCTGATGCCTCCTAAGGGGCCTAATGGGAAACTCCGGCAGAAAGAGATTGATGAATTGCGGCACTGGCCACTCAGACAGAGGTTTCTCCACTAGAAGTGGGGCTGGCTCCAGAGGCTCCTGTTGCAGGCACTGAGCGCCCCGCAGTCTCCACAGCTCTTCCAGAACTGACCTGGTGGTCCCTACACCTGACCAAAGGCTCTTCCAGCCTCGGACCCAGGGGCCCTGGATGTTGCCACCCTGCTGAGAGCCAAGGGAGCCACTCTAAAACTTCCGCCCTAGAAGCATTACAGGTTCCTTCAGCCATCTCAGCAGGCACTCCCTCAAATCTCAACCCTAGGGGTACATTTTTGAGGCCAGGCAAAATTGCCACTAAACTTGCTTTGGCCAAGGCCTAGATTAACTGGACACAATTCAGATCCTCTAGGAAAACAATATTGGACATTTTACCCATGAGGGATCAAAAATTCAGCCTGAGCCTCCCAGTATGGGGCTGGGATACTTTCACAGTATAGCCTCCCTGCCCCACCCCCACAGTGAGTATCACTAATATGCTCCTCACCAGTCATTTCCCAGGCTTCAAGCCCCAGGCCTCCTTCACCTCCCCTAAACAGGGTGCCAGAGCCCAACATCGTACCTTATTAGGAGCAGCCACCTGGGTGTGTTGCCCCTGCCGGCAGCTCGCCGTTCCCATCCCCAGCCTTTGCCTCTTCTCTCCTTTGGCTAAATCTGCTGTCCCAGTTACATAAGCAGTTCCTCCCCCTGATGCTGCATTACACGAGCCCCACCTCTTCCTTGCTGTTTATAACTAGAGATGCAAGTGACACAGCCAAACCTCACCTTTATCCCCAAATTCTATCACCCCGGGTTAAGGTTTACAGCCAAAACTAAAATGTGCAGAGAACTATTAGCATGGGGCCAGTGTCACACCAGAACTGGGAAATATCTGTGATACGGTTTCAGACAGAAGAGAAGAGGCCACTCTCATTAGAGTGGCAGCTAGAGGATGAGTCTTAAGTTGATGGAGAGGAAAAGATACACACAAATTGAACCCATACATTCAATACACACACACACACACACAAAAAAAACCAGCATCAAATTTAAAATATATTTTTTCTCTTTAAATCATTTTCTTACCATTCTCCAGGGCATACCCCAAAAGGACCCATGGCCAGCCCTGGCTCCTATTACCATCTCCCCAAGTAAGCTTGGCACATATTGGGGAGAGGCTAATTCCCCCCAGAACACTAATACCTCTTTCATACAAGGCAGTGGAATGAGAGACAGAAGACCAGCCCTCCCTTGACCCCCAAGTTTCTGGCACAGAGGGAAAGCAGTTACATTTAGGAAATATATATATTTATATATATATGTCTATAAAAATTTATCACACTTGATCAGAATTGTCCCCCACCCTTTCAGTTAACCCCAAGGGAACCAATTCCTAGTCCTGGGGCAGTTCCCTGGGTCTTGCTCTCTTGATGCCTCTCTGGCACTGGGCCTGCCACTGATGAGTGCAAGGTAGAACTCAGCATTATTATCCACCATGCTCAGGCCAAGTGCTAAAGAGCAGTGCCTCTATCTGCAGTACCCTCTGGGCTCCTAACCCCCACAAATCCTGATGGATGAAATGAAGCGCCTCCCATCCCACAAGTCCCTGGGGCCTAAGCCAGTCAGATCCTGTATTGCAGCCACTCTCGGATTGCTGGATCACTTGCGCCTGCCAAAGATGGACTTCTTGCCAGGGTTCTTGTTGCCCACACTTAAACCGATGAGGAGCCGGGCTTTTTCCTCCTCTTCCTGCTGTTGCATGTTGAGGTCTGATTTAGTTTCTAGCTTTCCCCGGACCTCAGATCCTGTTGCAGGTTTCAGCCTTAGCTTCTCTTTGATTACCTGACAGGAATAAAATGGAAGGTAAATATTAGTGGGACAAGCAGAACAAATCGCAATGAACCAAGTCAATAAAGATTTATTAAACTTACATAAAGACACAATGAGGCAATTCAAATCCTAAAATGATCTCTGCTTTCAAGAGGCTTACAGTCCAATTAGAACTCATGCTAAACCTAGTTATGTCAAACCTTCAGTTCCCTAAAAATCAACAGTAGTTAACATGTGAAACAGTAAACACTCAATTTAATCACCTAAGCAAGGACATAGAGGGTCAGAGATAGAAGTAGCTCACTTCATTCACCTGCCCCATCCCAAGGCTGGCTGCTTGTTAATACATCCTACAATGAGATGATCCTGAGCAGAGGATCTGCCTGCCTTCCCCTGCTAACCAAACAGCCATGAACTCTGCTGGAATACCTGGGCAACCAGGGCTTTGCGGCTATCCCTCTTGACAGCCATGGCAAAGTCTAGCCATGTCCATGTATTATTGTGGTACTCCAGACAGGGCAGCACCAGGTTAAGGTCACCCCAGTCCACACTGTTCTTCTCACCCTGCAATGGAAGGTTGGGGAGGGGAGAGAAAAGAAGATGGAAAAAAATACATCAGCTGCCATTTTAAGTCCAAACCAGTACTTGAGTCCAAGTCTAGTACCTTTCTGTAGCAGCAACCTATAGATAATTTCTCCTTACCTCAGTCTAGTAATGATACTAACTCCTGAGGGGAGCAGAGGAAAAAGATTTATCACCCATATTCCACCTTCACAAGCTGGACTATCTCCCTGTCTTTAATCTTGGATGATCTTATTTGGTTCCCTTCCCACATTTTAGAAAGTGCTGGGGAGGAGCAAACCTTGTAGCTAACACACAGTGGAACCTGTGGAATCTTTATGTAGATGAAGGAGTTGTTCATGGCTGCTCGCTCTTTCATCTTGTCAATATCATCCACAGGGTGCTAGAAAAGGCAGAAAGGAGTGTGAGCTCCTAAAACCATCAGAAGAAACTTAGGACCCCAAAGATATTCATCTCCTTTCACCCCTGGAGTAGACTCAAAAGCGACAGAAGAAATCCCCAGCCAAGCCAAAGTACCCCAGGACTCTTGATTTTTTCTAACATCAGGGGAATGCCCAGTACCTCAGGGGCTTTGCGAAATGATCTTCTGACCCCAGAACTCCGATTCAAGCCCTGCGCCACACCCTTCCCAGGGCCCAGTGCTGCTGCATCATCTGTTACAATCAGCTGCCGAGGCTTCACCACTGGTATTCCTATGAAAAAGCAAGCACACCAGCTGTTGTCCTCTCTCTCAAGCTTCAGTTGTCTGAGGCTGCTACTCTAGTCCTCTGGAGTTCCACCATAAAAGTTCTCACCAGTAGTCACCAGTTTGGACTTATCTTCTTCATCACCAACCTCATCATCTTCCACACTTCGTCCAGGAAAGAAAAAGCCCATTATTCTATGGAAGAACTGGTGTGTCAGCTGGATGGTGAGAGGCACCACATTCACCTAAAGAGGAAAAAGGCTGAAGAAGCAATTAAGCTCAGACATCATCCCTCAGTTTACCTACCCCTAATAGCATAATATAATGCACAGATAGCTTCTGACTGCCCCTTGTTCCTGGGTCCCCAAAGGACTGTTTACTAACCTCAAAGTGCTCCTTAACAGAGATACCCCCAACAGGGGGCCGGACTTTGCTGAAGAGGCGGAGGGCTAGCTGTCGCCCAGACTGGCAGGAGCTCTGGGGCCGCAGGACTACCTGCGGGATAGAGTGATAAATCAACCTAAAACTCCTCTGCAGACTTGATGGGAGAAGCAATGGTCTTTCCAAGATGGGCAAGCTTTCACCATCTCATACCACCATACTGTTTCTAGTAGTGCATTTATGTGGAAGGGCCATTACAAATGCTCTGTGCTAGGAAGTTAGGAATGGGATAGGAATGGGAAAATAAAACTTGCCTTGTAGACAGCATTAGGAAGGAGGTTGTTCATAGTGAACCAGCCCAATTCCAGAAGATGTTCTGCTGTGTCATCAGACTTATTCACCTATAAAGACAGATTCCCCACCCCAACCCCAATCCACTATAAGCTTTTCTCAAGAGCTTGCTAGAGAATTGCTACATATCCTATTTGTTTTCAGGTTCTCCATATGCCTAATCCCAACCTTTAATATCTCTTTCAACTTCATGTATTCTCTAATCCAGTGTTTCTCATGGGTGCTACTGGCCAGGGCACTAAATGCCAGTAGTGCTTCCCAGTCACTGTGACATTCAAAAGTAGTCTCATTCATTTCCAAACATCAGGGGTGGGGGTGTGCCAGGTAATGAACAATGTCCTCTCCTCTATGCCATGGGTAATTGCAGTAAAGCTGAATGCCAGTATAGAGTTAATGGTTCTATTCCAAGTAGGACTCTGAAGAATACAAGTGACTCTATGGGTCACATTTCTAGGGATATTCTTATTCAAGGAGGGAAGTATTTGATCAACCTCATCTATATAACTGTATTATTTAATAATACAAACAGATGTATCTAAGAGAAACTCTGCTCGTTTCAATAATCTTTAATACTATTATTAATAGTCATATAATAATTAGTCCCTTTTTTAAAATCTTTTTGTGAGTTAGACTCTTGAGATAGGTCAGTGCTTCTCAATACAGCTGCGCGTGTGTGACTGTATATACCCAATACCTTGCTATAGAGGAACCTCTGAAGCTCCAGCTCAGCAATTCCTAGCTGTCCATCTTCCTCTGTTAGGCGCCATCGTGCCTGAGCAAAGTAGAACTCAGTGCGACGGACCACACTCACATCTTCCTGCTGCTTTCGCAACTCCATCTTGTTGGCCTGCTGCAACTGGAAATCCTTAAAACATCTATAAATGAACATTAGGGTCAAAGCCAATAAGGGCAATAGCACTCAGGTTGAGGGTGAGGTGGAATGCTCTAGAATGATGCAGGGGGTAAATCCAGAGATAGACCCATTCTGGAACAGCTATTCTCTAAATTTTTTTCACAGGATTCATTACTCCTCATACCCTGGGCCATGGGAACACAATCCCATCTTTCAGTTCTACAGCTTCTCTCTTCCTACTACAATTATATCTGTAGTTGTGTTCCTTACTAATCAACTTCAAATTATTTTCAAGATATTAGCTGCACAGTATCAAGACCACAAAAGTGATCTTTTCCAACTATCTATTTTTCTCGTTTCCCAGGAGGTACTCTATTTATGATCCAATGGAAGAGCTCTCCTGTTCTCAACCTCTTGGCTAAGTCCAGTAAGGCTCGTTCAGGAAGAGGTGTCTGAAATCTACTACATCATCCTTTGATAATGTACACTAAATCTAAAGACTATCAGAACATGGCCAAAGAAGAGAAATTGACTGCAGCTGGCAACTAGAAAAAGACAGGGAAAGAATGCTCTGTGGCACCTGATGAGAATATTAAGCTCTTCACTTTCCAGTTGTAGACTGGCCTTCTCCTGGTTTAGCTGCAACTGAAGCTTTTGGTTCAGGTCAAACAGGTTCTCATTCTTGCTGTCATCCTGCAAAGACTAGGGAGCAAGGACAGGAGAAACTGAGAGGAGATCTCCCTTGTCCTAGGAAACCTCCTGGTCCTCAAGACTGCCCGGGTCACTACCTTCATGATGGAATACATCTGCTTTTCTAACTGCCGTATCTGGGCCACATGCTGCCGCACAGCCTCCTGCAGATGTAATATGCTGCTGCGCTGCTCCTCTGGATTGCTAGAAATCTCAAGCTGGAATCTGACACGCTGCTTTTTCTCACTGTGCTCCTAAAGGAATGGAAAAGGAAATGAACAAGATTTTCTAATAGACGAGTCTTACAGTAAAGTGAAATAGAGAAAGGAACAATAAGTGGGGATCTCTTTTGAAAAGCTCACCTTTATCTGTCACTATTAGCAGCAAGAGTAAGGGGTAGGCCAATGCAGATTTGGCAATGTGGATTTCACAATAAGCCAGTCCCACAGGGTAGGAATGATGGAAGTGGGGAGTACTTACTATTTCTAGAGGTATTTAAATGACTGAGTAGAGAACTGACCAAGAAAAACAAGT